TCTTTAGGTTTCACTTAAGATACTCGGTTGGAGTTGAACTCTCATCTTCTCTTGTTCATTTCTGTTTTGGCCTGAAAAGACCCTAAATATGTTTGAAATATCTGAGCTAAAGAAACAGGCACGGCCACATCATGTCATCAGTAAAAGATTCCAATAAGGCTGAGAGGGAGCTCCTCAGCTTTTGGGTTTTGCACTTGCTCAGAGAGGGGGCAAAAGTCTAGCCTTTCAAGACGACTTGACCAGCCATGCAGGTTACCGGTTCCTTCTATTCCTGCTGCTACAGAGTGCTCTGAAGCCACAGGAAAGTTGTACCCTCTCTAGTCACAGGTAAACCGCGCAGCCCAGGCTGAGGTTGGAGGCTAACGGGAAAGAAGAGCCCTACACCCTCGAAGGGACACTGCAGTGACTCCGATTCGAGCCGAGTTTGCTGCGGCCACAGCACAGAGTAGCAACCACGACGCGAGCAGGGCGAGCCCCAGGAGCTGACGCGGCCGGGCTCCTTCTTTAAACTGAATGTAGGGCTGTTTCCGTTTTGGAGATCCGCATAGATTTCGTTTTTTCTTGGTGTCTCTCCATTTCCCCCCACTCTGCTAAGAAAAAAAAAAAAAAAACACACTTCTCATTTCTCCCTGGTGCTGTCCTCATTGCTGCACAAAGCTACTGCGAAGTTTTGTCTCCCGGGTCCCGACTCTACCCACTACCGGCCCTCCTCCCTGCAATTCCCTGTGGGACCCACCCCCTGCCCAGCTCCCAGCCTCCTGCCCCAGGCACGCACCCAAAATGAGCACGACTGAGCCCCTCAGCTCCACCACGCCAAGTGGCAGGAGAGGGGCAGGACCCTTTTCTTGCCGCTGGCCCCTAGAGGACCTGGCCGCTTGCCCTCTTCGGGGGATGCGGAGAAATCAATAGGAATCAACGCTTTTTAAAAAGAACTCACTTCCCCTTGGCGACCAGTCTGGGCGACATGGCGAAATCCTGTCTGTACAAAAAATACAAACTTAGCCAGGTGGGTTGGAGCGCCTGTTGTCCTAGCTACCTGGGGGCTGAGGCAAGAAGATCGCTTGTCCCGGGGAGGTGGAGGCTGCAGTGAGCCGAGTTTGCACCACTGCACTCCAGCCTGGGCCACCGAGTGACACTCTCTCAACAAACAAAAGAAAAGAAAAGAAAACAAAACAAAACACTTCCCCATGGGAAAACAGTTCGTGATTTCTATTTTCAGGATTCTTCAAAGGACTAAAAGCAAAAGGCCATGACGGTTTCATTCTGCAAGTCCTCGTGTGGGCCTTGGTGAGTGCCAGACCCTGCTCCTCGAGAGAAGACCCACCAGCGACCCTCATCCCAACCCTGCCCTGGTGGAGCCTGCCATCGGGGCACAGGATCCGAAGACTGCAGCGGCAGCTCTGCAGCGCCCGAAAGCCACTGAGCAGCCTGGGCATAGGCTCCCTCACTAGGTATTCAGCTTTGCTTGGGCCACGAGGCGGCTCCGGCAGGTTTCCGATGAGGGCTTTTCCGGGGACTTCTGAAGCGGGCCAGGGGCAGGGTGGGTGAAGGCCATTCGACCGTCCTGGCTCCAGAATCTCCCAACGCGTGGGTGTTCAACGTGACCCGAGCGACTCACCGGTCTCTAATCTCTCCGGTTTTCCAAGGCCTCCTCAGTCATCCTGAGGACAGAAGGGCTGGGGGTAGTTTGGTGAGTGCGCCCTGCCTACAGCATCCTGTAGAAGCGGTAGTCATGGTCTCTGTGGCGCAATCGGTTAGCGCTTTCGGCTGTTAACCGAAAGGTCGGTGGTTCGATCCCACCCAGGGACGCCTCGTGTTGTCTTTTAACCCTTTTCAATCAACCGGGTTAACCTGTTTTCATTAATACACAATCAATCAGGTTAATCATGGGACATTAATCTTGAGACACACATGTCCTCTTTACGACCTCCTTACCTCTGATGCTGTGACAAGGACCAACTGTGCCTTATACTTGTCAAACTCAGGAATTCCAGAGACCATAGACAGTAATTCGCTTCTGGATAAAACTCTTCTTTGCTGCCATGGAAGGCTTGAGTGAGCAAGGTGCCTCAAGTTTTTCATTTATAATAATAGGAAACCTATTACAGCAGCATCCTATCCCCAGGATGTGCCTGGGTTTACTGATTGCTCTATCAATAATGTGACCAGTGGAATAATTCATCTTTATGCTGATCTTCACCATGGTTAGTGAAAACAGCATTTCTTCCTCAGTTTGTGTCATTTATTTAACCATTTACAAATGTTTTTCAAGGCTGGTCTCAGTGGCCCATGTCTGTAATCCCAGCATTTTGGGAGGCTGAGGCAGGCAGATTACCTGAGGTCAGGAGTTTGAGACCAGCCTGGCCAACATGGCGAAACCCTGTCTCTACTAAAAATACAAAAATTAGCCTGGCATGGTGGTTAGTGCCTGTAATCCCTGCTACTTGGGAGGCTAAGGCAGGAGAAACACTTAAACCCGGGAGGCGGAGGTTGCAGTGAGCGGAGATCACACCATTGCACTCCAGCCTGGGGGACAAGAGCGAGACTTGGTCTCAAAAAAAAAAATGTTTTTGAAATGAGATGGGGTTCATGGTGTTAGGATTACAAATGATTCTGCAGTCCCCACCGTTATTGTACACATTTCTTTGGTCACTTGTGCAGGTATTTCTATAGTGTAGAGAACAGGATGTGCCATTTTTACATTACAGTATTTATTTAATGCTTCTAATTTGAATACCTTCTACAAACTTATCTTCCGAGGGAGCAGGACCAAATCATAGTCCAATTTGTTTCCCAAGTCTATCAAGGTCTCTTTGTCACTTACTTGCCAGCACAGCAAACTTTCTACACATCGATGTATGATATTCCACTGAGGGGAGAGGCGCCCTCCTGGCTTAACCGAGGGGATAGACAACAGGAGGACATGGTGGACATCACACACAGATACTCTGCGGCATATGATGAACTGCTAAGCTTTTAAGGTATTTTAACGTCCTCCAACATCTGTAATTGTTTTCTGTGGTGACCAAGTCACGTGGGTCTGGAGAAGACAGGCCACAGTGACCTTTTTGAAAGCTGTCTGTCAAGCCCCTCTTCCAAGGGGAGCAAAATCACAAAGGTCCCAGGTGACATTTTTCTTCTCCCCTTTCCTCTTTTCTTCATAAATCTTGATTTTGCTTTTATTTGACAATACCAAAGTCTCATTCATTCTTCCTCCTATACAATGGTAACTTAGCATCCAAATTATTATTCTTTGATAGATTTTTGCAGGGGCCATGTCCATAACAATTAGCCCATCTGAGATGCATTGAGGGAACCAACAGAACCCCGCACCTAGCAGGAGGCACCTTGTGCAGACCTGGACCTTAGAGCCATTGGCTCATGTTCCCTCAGTTCTTCTGTTGAATATCATGATAGAAATTAAGCTCTTTGGCTTTTACCCACTACTATGGCTATCGCGCAGTTTCTCTCTCTCTCTCTCTCTGTCTCTCTCTCTCTCATTTTTGTATCATGATTTTCTTCCATCAGTGGCATCAGTGTGGGTTTCTGGTTTTGATGTTATAGAGTGAACTTCTGGGATCATTTTATGACTATGTAACAGTTGGTATTCAATTCTTCTGAGGATGGTTTGTGTTTTACCCAGGTTTTCCTTAGAATAAAAATGAGGTTACTAAGAGCATTTTTGGTAGAAGCTTTGTTAGGTGCATTGTTCATGCAATGAGATAGGAGTAAAGGACCACCACAGGGAGGTCAGAAGGTGCTTCTCAGAGGTGGAGACTGTTCTTGATGTCAGAAGGATGAGGGTTGGAAGAACCTTCAGGCACAGTGCAAAGCATGAGCGACAGCTCTGTGGAGGCCAGGAAGCTGGAAAATAGGGAATGAAAGAGGCCAGTTTGTCTGGAGCAGAGAGAGCAGGATGGAATCGATCTGAGCAGTGAGAAGAGATGGAGAGGTGGGCTAACGCGCCTGGCCATTCAGGGGTGGTTAGTTAGGAAGTTTTGTCTAGGAAAATGGGAAGGTGTTTAAGTGGTTTAGGCTGGGAGGTGACAGGGTCACATTATATTATGAAAAAGCGACTCTGCCTGTTGTGTTGAGATTAGAGAGGCGATAAGGGGATACGTGTAAACCACAAGAAGACTGGGTCATCCGTCCACCCCCACTCCCCAGGTGAAGGTAGCCTAGGCTAGGATGGTGATGGAGGAGATAGAGGAGGACAGACTCAAGGAAAATTTGCACGGTAAAAACCAGTAGGATTTGCTGATGGATGGAATACAGGAGGGGAGAGGTAGATTATCAGGGCTATATCTTAGTTTTCTTCTACAAGATGGATTCAATTGCAATGAAATTGTTAATTGAAATTGACTTTAAATAATGGCACGACCGAAAGTTATGCAAACATTTGCCTTAGATAAAATGTCAAGTTTTTAAAGTTTTTAGCTGGGTGGACAGCATGGCTTTACTTCCTATCTCTTGGTATCTCTTAATGTTGTTAAAAAAAGTTTTTCTCCTCTGAAAGGTTTATTTCAGTGGAAGTTCATCTGCAAAATCTGTTCTAAATTTAAATTAGAAAATAACTACAAGTGCCATTGACATGCTCTTTATTGTTTTTGAGAGTGACCTAAGGCCGCCTCGCGGGGATCTGGGGACTGCCTGGCGAAGCCCGCGCGTCTGCACCGGGGGCCCTGCCTGGCGGCAGCGCAAAACCTACAGTCCTTGGAGCGGGTTCGCTCGGGCTCCCAGGGGGTGTGTTTCCTGCCTCTTTAACCTGCTAGGGTCGGTCCCAGTTGACAGGAAATCAGCGATTTTCAGGATCCCGGGCTGGTGCTTTGAAAGAGAGGCGGAGTGGAGAGAGGGATTTCCCGTTCTTGCCTCACTAGTGCATCCCCCTAGCGGCCCTTAACGACGTTGTGCCCTGGAGGTGGAGGAGCCCTTTAAGGCCCGCGCATGCGCTCTGGGCTCTCAGCAGTGCGACGTGGAGGAGCCCGCCGGCTGCAGGAGAGGCTGGGCGGCGGTTGAGAGGGCGGTGCCAGGAGGCGTAGGTGACGGTCCCCAGGCGCTGGAGTTTCTGAGTGAACGTGGTGCATTTGTAAACGCCAGAAGGGCGACCGGCGGAGCCAGGAGCCGGGGCGCTGCAGGGCGGCGGCCATCTCCACGGGAAGTTAACCTCTCCGGTGAAGTCCACCCAGCGATTCCGAGGTGAGGCGCCAAGCCTGACCCCGGTGAGTCCGGCCACGTGGGTGCACAGCAGGGTCGCGGCGCGTCTGATGGGGGCCCCGCAAATGTTGCTGCGCGAGCGGCGCGGGCGCCGGGACCGGTTCCTGCGCACAATTCCTCGCCTGCCGCCGGCGCCCCCACTGCCCTCCTCTTGGGGGCGCGGGGTAAGAAACTCGCGGGGCGTCTTCCTGTGGCATACCAGGGGGTTCAGAGACGGAGCAGCTTTGGGGGCAGGTCCTCGTAAATCCTGTGGGGGACGCTGACCCTGCGCCCCACCTTCGAGGCCAGAAATCTGTTCCCTCTGGGGACCTGCGGGGCGAGAGCGCTCTGGCCCCTGACTTGCGAAGTTGGATCTTTACTGGCGTCCGGGATGCCGCGCCTGGCGCTGTCTCCAGGCTAGTGGCGGACAAGCCAGGTGTGCCAGGTCGAGGATGCACTAGAGGAGCGTTTGCAGCCATCACTGAATCGCCTCAGGACTAGCGGGGCAAGCCTCAGATTCACCTCAGCGTTTCTGGTAGGTTGGATCGTGGCGCTGCTGTGTGTGCTCCAAAGACTTGCTGTGATTTCCCTGTCTGTCTGTCTATCGTCTGTTTGTCTTTCTGTTTTTGGGGCTTCTTAGATGATCTCATTTGTCATCCTCTCACGAAGAGTTAAGCAGGACATTTGGAATGATTTCCTCACTTTCCTCCTGTCTTTTACTGGTAAAGCTGCTTCCGACAGGATGTCTTCTCCTGCAGTGCCATCTTTTCTTTGGGTTACAGTGATGTCTATCTTTTCTTTGCTGAAGGAATGAGTCCCAGGGCTTGACGAAGTTAAAGTGATCTGCCGGTAGTTTTAAATCTCTGATCTGAGCTGTTATGCATTAGTTGCTTTCTTTTTGTTTTTAAATTTTACTAGTAAAATTTCACCAGTGAACCTGAAGCTTTTTTTTTTTTTTTTTTGTATTCTAAAATGCTAGCTTTAAGATTTCTGAGAACTTTGTGTCAAAGAAATCTTCAAAAAGTTACTGAAGTATACACAAAAGTTCACAATTTTAAAAGTGCAGGTCGTCTGGGAGCAGTGGATCACACCTGTAATCCCAGCACTTTGGGAGGTCAAGATGGTCAGACCACTTGAGCCCAGCAGTTCCAGACCAGCCTGGGCAATGTGGCAAAACCCCATCTCTACTAAAAATACAAAAGTTAGCTGTGTGTGGTGGTGTGTGCCTGTAGTCCTAGCTACCTAGGAGGCTGAGGTGGGAGGATCATCAGAGCCCAAGAGGTTGAGATTGCAGTGAGCCGCGATCATGCCATTGCACTCTGGCCTGGATGGCAGAGGCTGGGCATGGTGGCTCATGCCTGTAATCCCAGCATTTTGGGAGGCTGACGCAGGTGGATCACCTGAGGTCGGAAGTTTGAGAACAGCCTGGCCAACATGGTGAAACCCTGTCTCTTAAAAA